TATCGATAGCTTCAAGCACGAACCAGTTTGCTTAACTAATTAAAGGCTTTATTACACATTTGGGAGGCAAACCTAAAACTTAACAGCGGTGTAGCAACAAATCATTTCAATCTGATTTAAAAATACATTCCTTTTTATTTAAGAAATACCGATTAGGACGCCTAAGTGGTGTCAGCACGACTTTTGAACACCCTTTACTCACCCATTTCCTTTCTTTAAAAGAAAAGAAACTTTACTAAACGAAACATTCCTATGGCAGCTATATGATACAGCAGTCATAGAAAATGTATTTTAAGAATATCATGAGGTTTTGAGATTTGTATTAGATATCTTTACAAATGAGTTATTTTAATTTTTACACCGATCGTTCCTAGCACAGCTATATAAAATAATGTGGCTATTTAAGCTTTGTAATAAACTTGATTTGCATATGAAGAAGTTAAGCCTACATGCCTAGTTTGGTGGCCCTAGCTGTTAGGATTTTAAAATTGCCTCGGCTCATCCAGTCGAACAGAAAAACAAACTGACGGACGGGGACGTGCGAATATGTCTATATCGATTCGCCTTGAGCATGAGGTCTGTTATGCCTACGTCTGTGTGTACATACGTTTGGCGTTGACTTTCTACTTAGTAAACCCTTTCACCCTGCGCGGGTGCAGGGTATACTGAAAGTAATAATAACTTTGACTTACGAATATGCATGTCCAATGGCCAATAAAGAGAGTAAACATTTTCCTGATACGAACATGAACATGCATGCATGCAATGTTTTCCTTTACACCCAAAGGGCATATTTAACACATTCAGAGTACCGTCCACACCCACAACAAAAGCAGCAACAATGGGGAGACACTTAACCACAAACCGAAGAGCCAACAACACAGAGGCAAGACAGAAGGAACCAACGAACAAGCAAGGAAAATAACAAATAAACCGAAGCAACATGAAGGTGTCAGTCGTCAGGGCTCTGACTCGGTCTCGCTCGCTCTCTCTCTCTCTCTCTGGCTCTGGCTCCGGGCAAGGTAAGCCATGTGAAAAGTGAAAATTAATTACTTGCCCAAATACAATTCATGCAACAATATAATAGAAACGGCCCCACAAAAGAGCCCAGAGGCGCAAACAAAGCGACAATATCTATGGAAGGAAGGAGAGGAGAGTCGAGCCGCGGCGAGGACCGAGGCGGGGACCGAGGCGTGTGTTGAAAGGCATTGCGAAAACCCATCAGAATGGGATGAGTTGGGTTGCCATGGCCTGGCTATGGGTATGGGGGAGTCAGACATCGGAATGGGGTGGTGGTATACTCGTATACAGAATACAGAAGGCAGCTGCCGGTCGTATGTGTTGCTTTTGTTGTTGTTGTTGTTGTTGGCGGCTGGTTGGTTGGTTGGGCGAGTCGATCCATAAAATGAAAACAATATCCTATGGGACATAAATTACAAAACTTGTTGTTGCTTATGCGTGTAGACGTCTCAAATAAAACACGCCGGATGCGACAACATCAACAATAACAACAGTAACATCAGCAACAACAACAACCAAACGAGTCCGTTCTCTATTCTCTATCCTGGCAATCCTCGACGACCCAGTCGATGCCGTTCACGGCCCAAACTCGGTCGGCACTACTTAGGAGCCGTGTCCGTTTATTTGTCTTTAAATGTCGGAAAATGTGCGATGGCTTCTGAGAGAGGGAGAGCGATAGAGAGCGAGTACCGTAATTCGGTACACACGGAAAAAACAAATATCTCACCTGCAAGTCAAGCTACCATATTATATTTTTTTGTTAACCCTAGCAGCCTAGAACAAGTTTTAAAGTGTTGGCTTATTTGTTTAATTTGTTGATGCATAAATAAAACTGTCTAAGCTATGGTCAGACTGGCAAATAGTTTGCACACTGAATTGTCGATAATCATAAATCTATTCTTAATTAAAACAAATAAGAATTCTATGCTTTAAAATTATTTTCTTCTATTTACTAAAAACCTCTTTGGGAATGATTTATAAAAAGCCTGCTCCTCAACACAAATGTGTGTGAACATTATTTGCATATCTGACCGTAGCTGTAGGAACCAAAATGCAAAAATTTTAATTTAAATCTCTCCATATAGTTTCGACGGATTTCAAACTTCAGTGTTAAAAGAATTTTATATCTATGGGTACCTACGTTTGGGGGAGGGAAACAAATTAAAGACAAAAAAAAAATTTGTTAAGTAGCTATGGCTTTATTCTGTTCAAACGACTACATTAAAGCTGATGTTAGCTAAGTTATTCCTTTCTGAGTCATATTCTTAAAATATTCGAACTTATGAATAGTTGGTTATTGAACATTGTTTCTATGTTGAAAAGAAGAAGAAACACAGAAATAAAATCATAAATAAAGCTAAATACAGAGCAACTCATTTCTTTCTTCCTAATACCGTTTCTACCATTAAACTATAACCAAAATTTTCAGTATTTTATCTGAGTGTAGAATGTCGGGTTACATTTTATAGTTGTAGTTTATAGCGCTTTCGGCCGACATTTAGGTGCGGCGAACTCAACAACAAATATGCTGCCAGTCCGCCCACTAATGGCATCGCATGTCCTTAAAGCCTTTATAATATGTAGGGGCCGTGCTTGTTTAGAAAATCCAGTTCTCAAAGGAATAAACTTAGCTGAATAAACTCGATTTAAATTTGTTATTGTTTCCCAAATCTATTCTCACAGAGCTTACCAGATATACCCACATATCTTAAAAGTGAAATGTCTACATACAATATGGAATGGAAATCGTGTTCCGTTCCAGTTTTTAATGAATGCCAATCTATGCAATATTCCCTTCTTATCTGGCATTAAAAACGATATCGTTTCTACAACATTACATTTTTGTTTCACAAATCCAGTTTTAGCATTTTGCAGATATCTTTTCAGAATACTCGACAGAATGGAATCGTGAGAGAATGGAAAGGAACTCAAATTTCATTTAGAGGCGACAATTTCAAGACTGTATTCTTCAATTTTTAGTCAGCATATAAAACATTCCAACAGACATACCTACTCGTGTTCCAATCCATTGTAGGTTGATTTTTTTAACTAATCAATATTCTCTAATTAAATAAAATCTTACCAGACCAGCCCAGAAACAGCAATACCTAAAGCTCGTGACAAAGTGGAGTGGAACGCGCGTTCCATTTGGAAGCCACAATTCCATGTACCTATTTTTCGACATTCTATAATTTATTTTCACACGCCATTTCTAGTCTTTCCAAAAGAATTACCTAATCGTGTTTCATTCCGGCTTTGAATTTTTTTCACAAAACCAATATCAATAAATAAGCTCTTTTGTTTTTGTTTTAATGTAACCAACTCGTCTTGGAATGGAACTAGCGTTTCATTCCAGCTGTGAATGATTTTCAAGTTCTGCTGAATGTTTCCTTTTCAATTGTATCATAGACCCACAGTTCATAGTTTACGAACTCGTTGAATTCATTTGAGGTAAGCAACACAACTCAGCGATATTATACACACATAAGAATATCGTATAGTATAAAGTCGTATGCTCGTTTAGGTATAAGTAGTGGGCATTCAGGCTGATTGTCTGACAACCTGCCGCTTGCCTTTCAGCAAGCCAGCAAGCAACACAGACATACATACCTCCATACAACGATTACTACAAGTATACTTGTACGCGTGTATTTATATGGCTGGGCACCGTTTTAGTTGTCAGCAGTGCACATATATTTTACACAATGTCAGTTACAGACCGTGTCAAAGTTTGAACGGACGGCAACAGGCAAGACCTGCTGGGTCCAAAGCAGCCCACCGTTAGCCAAATCGCCCATTTGCCCATTTGCCACCCACTAACCTGTGGACATACAACAAAGCGCTTTAACGCAACTTTCAGCTCAAGGTTCAAAGAACGGAATTTACGTTTTCCTTTTACGGTGCGCTGTTGCGGCATTGCCAGCACAAGCCACCTTTCGTTTCTTCGACCGCCCCCCCGTACCCATACCTCTTCCCATTCCGTTCCATATCGTTCCGTCTGTCTTAGCTCTGTCGTACCGCCGTAAACATACGCCAAACAAAAAACAAAAACACAAAAATAAAAGCAACAGCAACCGCAAAATTCCTCTGTTTGTTTTGCTGTTTTCGGTATTTTTATTTTGTATTTTTTATTTTTTTTATTTATTTTTTAATTCGTATTATTGTTTTTGTTTTCTACTTTTGTGCGCTACCCTATACGAAAAGTCTGTGGCAACTTCTCTCTGAAATTTGCAACGCATCCAAAGTGAGTGGCGGTTCAAATAATACATACATACTTGTAAGTATACTTGTATATAAAAACACATGAATGTGCAGACACACTATGGACTTATTCTCGTAAGTATGTGTGATCTAGACGAGTGTGTAAGGCTGGTGGGTGGTGGTTCAAGGCATTTGAGGATATTTGCATAACGAATATACATAATTGTCCCACCCTTTGTGTTTTCAAAATCCATGCATTTCAAGCTCTATTTATAAGTAGTTACATAGAGTGTTGAGCCTAGTATTTCGAAACACTCATATAATTTGGCATTCAACTTAGAGTCAAGGTTTCATTACGGCTAGATTCTCTTCCTCTTCTTGTTTTCAAATTTCAACTTCGAGGCCTCATCTAATTTTGTATTTTGTAAGATGACAAAACAATTGTTATTTTAAAGAAAGACACGAAAAAAAAAATTCATGCAATTTAAAAAAAAACTTATTTTTTCTTAAGTTCGTAAAAGTATTACAAATTTGTATTAAAAATATATGCACCTAAGTATGATTTTCTTGTTTTAAAATTCCAATAAAAATAATTGATTTATTCGCTTTGGAGCGGGAAAACCCTGGCGTTCGTAAAAGCGTTACCAATTCTATGAACATGTCTTCAGTAATAGAAACAATTGCCGTTTTCTTCGTCATCGCGAGGGAACGCCAAATTAAAAATAAGTCGGAATTTCCAACGGAATTCCCTTTTGACAATTTATTGTACGCGTACTTACCATACATTTTACCCTCATCGGACAGAATGATTTTCCTGCGTCCACATGGCGGATATATTGAGAGTGCCTCTTGAAAGCTTTGTTCGATGTCTGGACTCCAGACACCTTCGGCATCGGCAGACGATAAATCTTTTTCATCCTGTAATTAGATAATTCAGAAGTCAGATGTGTGCTATTTGCAGACAAAATACCAAAACCACTGCTGAGTGTAACCCGACAACTGCCAGATGGGGAGAACAAATATACATACATATATTCTCAGTGTCGAACGACACACATACGAGTCTCTCTCTCTTTGTGTGTGTGTGCTCATTAGCCTGATGAGGATTGAAAATGCGAGTATTCGAGTTCGATTTCGGTTTCAAATTCTTGTTGAGGGATAGCGACAGTTTCTCCCATTATACCTATACATTGATGGTAGAATTACGGGGTACTATACATTTCAGACTAAAGGTCCTTTGTTTTGAACCGTATTTGTAAACCTTGTAAGTAACCAAGTAGTAAAAGGGTATACCGGTCGGGTGCCCCAACTTTGGAATACTCTGTACCTATGTGTATAAATCTTTTAATTGAAAAACTGGAAAAGCTAGAGTGGGGCAGGTCCAACTCTTAAATACTCTGTACCCAAATCCACCAAAAATAAATCAATATAAATAATATTTTTAAATTTAATTTTCTAAATGAAATCAATTCCATTTATTTAATTATGACATTTGTGTCCATGGGTAATCACTAAAAGCAGAGGGTACATCAGAACAGAAAAAAAAAACAAACTTGATCTGCCTGGGGGTTAGAGGAGCCTGAATACCAAGCTTAATTATTCTAGCTCTTGTACCTCCTGAGATCCTTGGTATCATACAGACGGACATCGCTTGACATCGTCTTGTCATCAAGAATATATGTATATACCTTGTGGGGTCTACCAAGCCTGCTGTATATACCTTGTGGGGTCTACCAAGCCTGCTTCTGTGTGTCAAATACATTCGCACTAAACTGGTATACCCTTTAACCTTTCACCTTTAATAAAAAGAATAACTGGAAACATTTATTTAAAAATAAAAGAAAATAAGATTGGAACCGTCGATAATACAGATTGTTCGAGATTTGAACAAACGTACTTAACTCAAAAATGTTGTACTTGGAATACATTGTTAAGTAAGTACAACTCATGGTTTGGAAAGATATTTCATAAAATGCTGTGGCATTTTCTGGTAGGGAGTACTAGGATTTGAAATTGATTTCAAGTGCTGTACTTACGTCGCTCATGTCGCCAACGTCCAGGTTTTTACTGTCCACCATGCTGCCATTTGTGTCTGCCGATCCTAGGGCACCCGGAGGACCGGTATTCACTGGGGTCCACGGAGATGGTATGGTGCCGGGTCCGACTGCAATGAATAGAGAAAGAAAGGGTTTGTGTGAGCATCAAATTGTTACGTTTAGTGAAAAAAGTGTGCAATTTTTTGTTGTTGTTTTTTTTTATTATTATTTAAAGCCTGGCCTGGGGCCAGGCACGAGTCAAGTGACTGAATGAATGAGTGAATGACTGACTGACTGACATGACACATGGTTGAGAGCACGCTTTAAGCTCCATAAATCTGTGTCACAATATAAGCGAGAGTGAGCGGCTGGGCGGAAGGGGATAAGGGGGGGAAGAGAGGAGGAGGAGGGGCGTTTAACTAACAACAAACCAACCAAGCAACCCACATGCTCAGCCCAGCACCCGAAGCATTTCCAATCCAAACCTATACGAATGGCCGGCCACACATGCAGCCCATTTGTCTGACACTGTTGATGTTGCTGGTGTTGTTGTTGTTATTGTATTATGAATTTGCGTGCCGTGCCAGATGAAAAGCGCTTCAACACGCACTTAAGTACGTTTTTCATTTGATATATTTAACAATGCCGCCAATGAGGGCCGGTCAGCCGGCGTTAGGCAGCCAGAGTTACCTTCTAATCAACGGGGAACGGGGTACGGCGTACAGACATCCCGGCATCCAGCCCGCCAAATTGTTAATCAGCTACTCCCACTCCCACTCCATGATGACAGCATGAATATGAAAATGAATTCGACTGACAAGTACGCTTAGTGGCAATCATCATTTGGGCACACATTCCGCACATACATATAGTACTCGTAGGTAGAATTTGTTGCTGTTTCAAGCGATTAGTTATACTTATTAAGGGGATTGTGGCAACATCGGAAACCCTTCATTTCTCACATCCTTGTCTAATAAGCGAGCACAACTCTTGACTTGAGGACACACTAACAGGAAGTAGTGTAGAAAAAATTCCATGTATTAATATACAAAGTCATGGCAAAATCACTTATACTGGGGGAGTGAGGGGTGCATACAAAAACTTGACAGGCGTTGTGCTTCGGGTAATACGTATACCCAGTTTGGTTATTCCAACTCTTACATTTTGCAAAACCTCTTCGTTCATACAGACGGACATGGCCTTGTGAGCTCGTCCTGTCCTTCTGTTTGTTACCTACTTTCGCTCTAAACTCGTATATCCTCATCTCATATTCATCGTAATTCATGAATATTATTGCAATTGAAACCAATCAGAAGTCTCAGCCAAATTATACAAGCATATTCTTTCTTTCTAATTTTCAAGGCTTATCTGAAAATATACTCATAACACACATTTTTGCGCGGAAAATTGTTGCCTGCTTGACGGTAGCACTGAAGTATTTATAGATAATATTCCATTATTCAATTACGGATATATAGCTGAGGAGCTCATGCAGTTCGATTTCCAATTTGCAGCCCATTTCGAAAACTCATTATCGAGCAATTTGGACAAGGTTTTTGCGCAACCTTTGACCTTTAAGTTATAAGTACTTGGCAATCATCGACCAACTGTAATTGAGTTCTTGACGCAAGTGGTTGAAAGTATTTTTAGCTCTTGAAATGGAAACCTCGGCTGACTTACTCGTAAGTGGCCTATAGATTTGATATTTGTTGACACTTGGAGGAATGTGTAAATTATACTTATATTTAGAAAGGAGTTTGAGTTGGGGTGGAGAGCCATCTGCCATATACTCGTAGTGTGTATTATGTATATTTAACGGTTCTTCTCGGCTCTTCGTTTCCATTGAAGATTCAATCAGTGTGCTGACATGTCCATAAAAAGTGGCATACCATCATCGTATTATATCGTATTATGATGATAGAAGTTTTCCCTCTGTGTATCAATTTTCAAAAGTGCTCATTAAGATAGCGCAGACAGACAGACACACACACACACTCGCTCTATTATCGCACACTTTCGATCAGCGTGGGCTTAAGTGCGTGTCTCTGGGCTCGTCTCAGGGGCCGGTCGGTCTGTCTGTGTCCGTGTCTGTGTCGGTCCGTCGGTCCCTCACTACCTGTTGCGCACGCAAGAAACTTGTTAGGCCCTGTTGGCTGAGACGACAACAATGGGCCTTCAACGCAACTGTAAAGCGCCTATTCGGGAATTGTCTAGACATTTTATTCAGCTAGAAATGAAGATAATAGCCATCTTCTTCTTTTTCTTCTTTCAACTTGTAACTCGACAGCAGATCATCGTATCGAATCAAGTCAATCAAAACAGCTTGTTGGCAAAAATGTCAGGCCATTTCAATATCATGAATCATCACCGCACACAACATCCTTCTATAATCACAGCACCGAGGCGGCCTAAGCGCATGGTCAGACAGGCAAAGAATTTGCAAACAAATCTGTGAAATTTCGCAAGCATGATATTTTAAATGAAATCAAATAAGAACTCTGTTCAGAACTTCATTTTCGAAGCCTACTTTTTTCATCTTTTCGTAATCTCTAATCTAATAAGCTACGATTCATGAGCACCGGTATCTCTCAGCCTTTAGACCCATTAGGGGATTAAATTATGGAGCAGTCAGAACTTGGTGATTACTTAAGATGAGAGTAACAGCTTCCACTTTCTTGAAGATGGATCGATGCATAACTAAGAAGCATTTCAGCAACATTCTAAATTATATAAGAAAAATAGTATATAGAAAAAGTATATGGCTAAATACAATCAAATAAAACTAAATAATAAATTAAACACGGCCGAGCCTCAATTCTCCGCAACTCCATCAACTAGAAACATCTGTTTACCGGGATGCTGAATGATTGTTGATTTAGTCTCTCTATCAACCGCAATTACCTTAAACCCCATAGGGTTTAGGAAATATTTGAAATAGTTTACTAGAATCTTAAGATGATGTTCCAAACTGCATTGTCGATATACAATCAGATATAATTTACTATATTATTTGAAAAGGAAATCGTAAAGATGGTTCACAAGGCCGAAGAATGAGAAGAGATGTGTTTCGCTTGAATTTCGGGTAATCACATCGAGGAAATACGAAAACGCCTTTCATGGGTTCGGCATAAGTAGGAGGCTAGTTGTAATGTTCTGTTGAAGTTCTTAGAAAACTACAATTGTCCAGGAATCTGCGAGCCAGACGACTACAAATGTCCCGCAGGGCAATCAAAAGATAAGGAAACAATACGACGACCAGGATTGTCGATTGGTCGAAAACAGCTCGGCTCCAGCATCCCGAATAATCGTTTCTTAACTCCATGTCACTCGATAAAACGAATTATTTTAAGTATATGTACTTGTATATGCGTGTGCAAATTGTTTGCCTGTCAGACCATAGCACAAATATATTTAAAGGAAAATATAAATAGGAATGGAGTTGGCAGGCAAGCGATACTACAACCATACCGCACCACAACATAAATATATTTAAATTAGTTTTCTCACTGACGAATTTGTGTGCAAATTGTTTGCCTGTTTGCCCAGAAAATGGGAGCAGGATGCCACATCAGAACTATGTTTGTAGAGAGAGATCAAAGCATATCAATAAATCCAAATATCGCGTCCACAACTCACCGGACAATGTCTTGAACTCCTCTAGGGAATCCAGATGTTTGGAAAACGGCGCCACTTTGGTGCCGTTATCTGCGTCGCTTTTCAAATAAATGTTGAAATTTTCAACAACAACACCGACAAACACAAACACGAACACTCAACAAAATGCTTTGGCTATAAGCTCTAGAAATATACGTGTATATATGGCTATATATTTGTATGTATGTATGTATAATTGTAATTTTATGCACTGCTCAATGGCTTCGATTAGTTTACAATAATGGTCCGCATAATTCCGATTGTGTCTTAAACGGCATCGTGTGTTTATTTCTCTCTTGCTCGCCGGCTCTCTGGCCGTGTCTTATTTTTGGGCCAAATCTGGTGCGCAAAACAAAAAACCGATTAACCGAATTTTCCCAAAACGACGACACCGATTACAATAACAAAAGCAACAACAGCCAGCACGTACAATAGGAAGGAAAGAAAAACGCAAACGTGCGCCCGTCGCTCGGCGTGTCTGTTTGATAGGAACGCGCATTTGAAACTGAAATGCCTTTTATTTTCCACTAATTTTTACATTTTTCTTTTTTCTTGTTGTTGCTGCTGCTGTTGTTGTTGTTGTTGTTGTTGTTGTTATGCCTGCCTATCCTGCTTGCTCGGTGCTCTCCCCGTGTGTTTTGTTTTGCTTTTAAACGAAATTGTTACAGGGGATGATGTGATGGTTATTTCTTCGTCCTGCGTTCGGCGACAGGATGCAGTGTGCCATATAGACACACAATTAAGGGAAGGCCGACGGCAAAGCCAGCCAGCCAGCCAGCCATCCAAGTCAAGCCAAGCCAAGCCAAACCAAGCCGAAACCAAACCAAAACCAAACCGTTCCCTGTTCTCCTTTCTCCGTTCTCCATTCTCCGTTCGCTGGCAACGCTTTCAGCGTCATGTACATGAAAGGCGGCGGTCTAGCCCAGTGCGTTGCGTTGCGTTGCGCGGCGCTGCTCTACACTGCTCTGACATCTACCGAAGGGAAATTCCAAGAACGGCGGCAGCAGTATATTCAGTAAAACACCCTCTCAGAGATATGACAAGCAACAAGGCTCGCAAGCCGCCTGCCTGCCATCCTGCCTGACTGCCTGCCTACTCGGCAGTGGCTGAGCGCCACTGACGCCGCCGAATTGTCTGTCGCTCTGTCGGTGTGTCTGTCTGATTGGATGGGTGACTGACTTCTGTTACATATGCCTACATACATATACATATACATATATATATATATATATATATATATATATATATATATATATATATATATATATATATATTTATCCATATATATGCATGTTGCTGTGGGTGAAAAGGTTAAACCTACTTTTGAGCGCTCGACAATTTGTGTGTATAAGCTTTAAAAGCGCATTTGCATCATTTAATCCTTTTAAAATACATAATTACCTGTTTACCAACACTGGCAGCGTTCAATAGCTTTTTAAAGAGAATTAAGAATATATTAAAATAAATTCTGTTC